CAGACCAACATGAACAAACAGCGGATAGATGGAGTTAAATAAGGCGGCTCCAAATAAGGTGCAAAGTGTTTCCAGAGTAGCAACAGCTGCAAATAACGCACCTATATACAGATAATATAAGGCGAAAGTGTTTCACATTCAAATCCGTGTCCTAAGAGGGGGCCCCTTCTATGTATAAAAGTTGTCCCGGGAAGAAGGGTCACTCGAGCTACCCTGGGCGAGGCAACGTATCATAGATGTCCCTACAACTGAACATGACGAACCGTTTACCTGAAAAACAAAATGTGGCTCGGCTAAAAGGATGACCAGCCTAGCGAGGTCATTTTTTTTCGATGTTAAATAAGTCATATACATGTAAACACTTTGGCTCGTCCAGCCGGTCAACTCGGTCGAGGTGGGATAAACAGAGCATGCGCGGGCGCTGTTTCAGGTAATCATACTTAAACGTTGTACAATCTAGAATTTCTCATATAAACGCTTGCTAAAGAATTGGCCGGGATGGTGATCCTTCTACGCGGGGAATGTTTTCTGCGTATAACCAGGGTCTAAAACCATTGCTTATGACTTTTATTATAAATGTATCGCTAATGACCGTACTTAATGAAATACTAATGACTGTAGTGAATGTACATATCTTGCGAGAAAGTTCTCCTGGTGAGACTTCCACCCCTACTCCCCAGACCCTCCCATGCAACATAAAAATAAAGTTGCACAAGTGTGTAGTATATTACTTTTAGCGTCTCTTGATTATTTATCGTTTGTAACCTCCTATTTTGTTACAACATTTTCAGGCCATTAATAGTTAAGGTAAAAAACATCGGTTCACTCAGACGTCCCAAAGGGCATGCTCGCTGTGGTCTTTTTTAGCATATGTATAAACGTTTAGCGCTAAATAAATATATTTATCTTTTGCCTTGTTTCCAATATATGCGCCTCACCTTTGCCCGTCCCCCCTCCCCGCCCCACACCTGGTACAGGAGGGTGTCCCCTCTCCCCTACCAAAAAAAACGGAAACATTTAAAAAAGCGCTTACCCTGTTCATCTGAATTCACCATTTTGGACATCATAGCTCTGATGATGGGAGTCGGGATGCCACCAAGACATGCTGCTAAAGGAACTATAAAATTACAAGGATTACTACGCTTCTTGGATTATTAATAGAGCAGAGGATCATTTTTGTAAAAAAAACTTTTTTTAGTGAAATTTTTTTGTTTGACTGTTTTACTGGCACTAAACTATAAATTTGCCGGGTTAAGTCTAGCATGAGCAATATGCGGGATTATTGGAAATCAACAGGCGGGTAACTTTTGTACTCTTAATAGTTGCCGAAGAACAAATTCACAGAAATTGCAAATCGTAACATCGAAAGAAAGAAAAAGTACTATGAGAAAATCTAACCAAAGAGGTTCATTGGAATGGTAACACCAAAGAACAACTGCATCCATGAATTTGAAAGTTAGCATGACGATCATAAATTTGTCATAAATGAATTGGTTTAGGAGTGAATTCAATAATCAAATTGAAAATTGAAAAGCAACTACGATGTCGGCTTAAACTTACCAATAAATAAGTGAGTTTTTGTTTTAGCAAATGCCATCATGACCAACGAGCAAATGACGGAAATGATTCCTGCCTGCATAAGAGCTACTTCTGATAAAACAATTCTCAAAAACTTGAGTCCCAATACTGCTCCAACGGCTTGAACGAAAAAACTTGTTGCTAGGTAGTAGCCAATCAAAATCGAGTTACAACATAATGGCCGATCTATAGCATACAATACAATAACACTGCCAAAGCCGATTGAAGACACAATCATGAGACCAGATGCAAGCATTAATAAGCACATGCGCCATCTTAGCTGCCCAGATCGAGGGTTTGTAAAAATATGAATAATGACCCGGATGTGTTGGAAACTAAAAACTTTGACGGTGGAATTTTCCATTAAATGTTTTGCTCTTGATTCTGGAAGTTTTAAAACAACGTAGACCAAAGCAAAGCTGTGTAGAGAAAGTATTATAATGTAGGGGGCTGTATAGCCTGTTTTGTTTATTAACCAACCACTACTCAAATGACTTAGCATGCCACTAATAAAAGCAGTTGCTTCTAAGATTCCTAGGCGAAAAGCACGCTGGGATTCCTCCGTGATATCTGCTATATATGAAAACATAGACAACACCATTGTGGGAAAAAAGCCACAAATACCATTGATAAATCCCGCTAAAAGCAGCATTTCAATAGGGAGGTTGAAGTTAATAACCCACAGTATAATTGCGGATTCTATTGCACTACCAACTATAGGGAGCCCCATGACTCTTCGTCTCCCTGCTCGGTCGGACCAGGCCCCTAAGAATAATGCGACAAGAAGAGACGGAGCGCTGGCAGAGAATACCATTCCCAACTGCATAAACGACGCTTCAGATTGAACCTCTTTTTGTATTTTTAATGTTTCTTCTTTTTTCGGGATAGGAATGGAATCGCAGTTACTTAAACTTGCAGTAGTGTTGTAGACAACGCCTTTACTCTCAGCTACTCTTTTGTGAATGTATTGTTGAATTACTGGAACATGAAGGATGATTCCAAACGCGTAACAGAATATAACTGGTTCGACCGTAATTTTGCGGAAGCTTGATTCTTCCTTTTCAACTGGCGCTTTAGAATCACTCTCCGTCATTATTCTTGAAAATCTCAGGAGAAACTGCCTCAGCGTAGGTGTAGTGTTCCTTTACTGGTCTAAAACCACATTACCCGGACCGCATTAAAGTTTTCTCAAGTCTTCAGATTTGTTGTTGACTGTATCCAAACCTACATGTCAGAGAGATCATAAAAAATTTTAGAACCTACTTTCTCGGATCAAACAAGATCCACTGGGCCTTTGATTTTTTAAAGGATTTACGAAATACATCAACATCTATGTTTGTTTTTCTTTTAAAGGCATATTATGAAACTAACTTATCGCTGTTCCAAAATTTTAACCAGCAGACTCTACGACCAATGTGTCACTAATAAAAACCTCTTCTATGTTCGAAAATTAAAAGATTCGAGGAAGATAACATGGAACGAAACTCGGTTACCAAATACCAACTTACATTAGCAAATGTACGATAGGATATCAGTTGAGATGGCTTTTTATTGTGAAGGGGGATATGTTTGCTATGTTTGCTCAGTGTCCATGGGTTACCCCCTCATCATGTTTGACCGGCCCGTTGAAGCGGTTTCAGTTCGCTTTAGATAAAACGTAACTATTGTTAGTCACTGTCTTTACCTGATCCTGCCGCGCCTGGCTTGTCTCAAATCCCCACCTTCACCACAGACCTAAATACAGCCGTAAGAAATAATGTACTACACGATCTTCGATCGCTGACTTTTGTTTGTTTAAACTTTCCACCCGCTTTCATACATGCCATTTTGTCAATTGAAAGAGACATTTACGGGTACCAGCGAAATCTAGCTTCCTCCGACCCGTGGCGGCAACTGGTCGACTCCAGGCCTTTTTTAAACAGCTTCGTAGCACCCCAAATGTTAACAGAACAGTGACTGACGTTTTGCCTGATAATCACCTTCAGCCATAGTTACTATGTTATATCTCCTTAGCTGTCTATTGGCTTGCTTGTTCATAAAAGTCGCGACCATTGTTATGGACCATTAAGATTCTAAAAGTTAATGGAGGGTTTCGATTCTCTTTTGAACATATTAACAACGCAGTGAGTCTTTCGCGAAGGTCGTTAATCCGCGCTCGGATCCGGCAACCGTCGGCAACTCTTAGCATTTGCGGAACAAAGTCGTGTGACGTTACCGTATTTATTCGATTAAACGCCGCCCTCGAACAAACACCGCAGATGGAAGCAAAATTACCAGTAAACAGCGCCCTCGAATAAACGCAGCACCTAATCGGAAGAATACGGCGTTTACTGAAGTATAATAAGAAAAACCTCGGTACAACTTGGTAATTTACCTCATCCAGAAATTTAACGATTCTATCAGTCAGGAATATAAGAGAGACATTGGAACCTTTAAATTACGTTTACGATAACTGTTGTCAGTGATTTTTAAAAAAGTGATTTCGAAATAAACGTCGCCCTTGAATAAACGCCGCATTGGAAACGCTTAAAATTTAATAAACGCCAGGCGTTTCATCGAATAAATACGGTAATTGTCAGGTAACTGATGTAGTTGTTCGCAAGCAGACTCAGGAAGCCCTTCGGTCCGTGCGTCGTTTAAGTGAACATACCATAGTGAATAGTTAAATTAAACCCTGAGGCTAATCCGGAGCCATATTCTGACCAAAAACGGAAAATTAAATGGTCCATCTCGCGGTTCTTCGGCACAATAATAAAGTTAGAAATTGGTATGATTTATTTCATATAATGAACGGTTGATTGACCCCAATATGAACTTTACATTGCCGGGACGCAAAAATAGCGACAATCAGTGGTGTATTAGTGCTATTTAAAATCAGTATACCTTAGTAAGTGACGAGTAGCCACGTGACAAAATCAAGACAGGTTAACAAAATTTTAAAGTGCACTCTGCTCGTAAAGGGGATAAAATGTAAAACAGTGTAACTTTTCACTTGCTAAGTTTTTTAGTAGTGGTTGTTCAAACGCCAAACTAAATGAAAATTTTGGCCACAAAATGAATGAAAGGACGCGGTCCTGCACAATAGTTCATTCGTTAGGTGCGGCACATAAAACGTGCAGCGCTTCAATCAAAGCTGTTCTAGAGATTAAAATCTGCGCTGCAGAGGGCGGAAAGAACCCTATCCTGATTTATCCGAGGTATTAGCCATAAAGTATAAGACAGGGAACAACTCAGAATGCCACCAAAAAAAGAAAATAATGATTACAAATTGAAATCAAAACTGGTAATTTGCACATTACATAAAGAAGACAAAAGACCCTACCATCAACCCTGTCACGTGACTAGCTGAGCAATAATGATTTCTTCCGTTGCTCTAAATGAAACAAATACGAACAAAAACCGCTCTTATTACTTTTGCTACAATGGAGGATCAAACGAACAACGAAGTCATCGAAGCTGTGGAGAAAGGACTGAAGAAAATGGAAAATGAAGGAGTCTTGAACGGGAGTGATTTTACCAAGCCATGGAGATCAAGTGATGTGATATTTCTGGTCGAGGAACAAAGGTTTTATGTTCATCGCTGGGTCCTCGCAATGTTGTCCCCCGTTTTTGAAAAAATGTTTACTTCGAACTTCTCAGAGAGGAAGGAAACTGAAATCTCATTTCCAAACAAAGCGAGCGAGGAATTCAAAGAAATTTTAGTGATGGTTTATTCGTGTGCAGAGTCGCCAGCAGTGACAAACGGCAATTGCTTCTTCTTACTTAAACTCGCTCACGAATATCAAATCGACTGTGCTATTCGTAAGTGTGAACACTTTCTTTGGAACGCTTCATATTCTGTGGTTGCTGGTTGTTTACACATCAAAGATCTTTTTCCATTTTTTAAAATGAAGCAGTTTAAAGACGAAAAAGAACAAATTCTGTCTTTGTTAATTGTTGGTCAGGAGTACCAGCTAGAAAGAGTTGTAGCGGCTTGTGTACACTTGGCCAGCTACTTCACTTTGAAAGCACTAAAGCAGGATTATGTGGAATTATGTGATCTTATCACTAAAGAAAATTACTGTAGGATACTCGAAAGAATGATCGAACGCTTGGAAGATAGTTTTTTTGTTTTCTGAAAAAGTAAGACCTATTTTTCAATTCTTGTAACATTCCAGTGACTTCAATAGGAGGAACGTTTGTTTTTCGTCGTAGTCACATTGAGGAGAATGTTTCTAATTGGAGAACGGAACGGTCATCTAACCCTAACCCTTCACATTGAAGTGGCCGGATATCTGGCAGCTTGGGGCGGTCACAGGTTGCCCACGCCCTAGAACGGTTCATTCAGTAAAGAAGCGTAATTATTTAAACTGCCTAGAATGGGTCTGTTCAGTCCAAGACAGTCGAAGCTTAATACAAGAATAAACATTTTATTTTTTTGTCCTTGTATTTTCGTTTCCCATGAACTAGCAATAAACTTCCATGCAAGTCCCAATTTTAATTAAAGTTCTGTCAGAATAATGTATATAGTGTAAATATCGCGATAAGAATTTTAATGTTTTTAATCTTTAAATTTTAATTTCAATTTTTAAATAAGAATTTTTAAGTTGTATTTTTATATATTTGTTTTCTATTATTTCTATTATTTCGGTTTGAAATATTCAGTTGTAAAGCGCCATGAGCCTACGGATATGGTGCTATAGAAATCCTTATTATTACTATTATTATTATTATTATTATTATTATTATTATTATTGTTTACCAACTGTTACAAGATCCTGGACAACCCGTTATGAACTGGTTAGTGATGAGAAAGAGCAAGCTCTCCTCGTGAACTTACTGCAGTTACTCGATCTTGCAAGTCCTCAGTTTTTGTTAGTCACACTACAAATTAAAGATAGATACAGTTAGAGGAGGCCATACACTTCCTTAAGGTTGGTCTCCACTGTCGCGAAATTTTTCTTGCATACGCGCGTTCATTTTACGCACGTAAATAAAACAGCGGCTATGTCAGAAATCCTGAATGAAAGGTCGCGCGTAAACGTGAAAGTTGAGCGGGGTTCAACTTTTACGTTTACGCGCAACCTTTCATTACCTCTATTTCATTTGCGCACTTAAATTTTACGCGCGTACGCATGTAAAAATTACGCTGTAGTAGACATTCACGATTACATAGTAATTTACGCAGGATGTTCGGATTGGTCAAGGCCTAACCGAGAAGGCTTCTGTTCATTTAACGGTTGGTATGGTGCATGCAAGTTGTTTTCTGCTGATTGACGCAGCCTGTGTTTACAGTCCACGGAGCTATGACAATACTAAGAACAGCAGTAAAAACCTTCGTCTTGCAACCCGGTCACCGTGTTAGGACTGATCGGAATTCAAGACAATGGATAAGAGTACACAAAAGTGTTCCAAAGTCACTGACGTTAATTAAAAAGCAGAACTTTTTTTTGTATGCAGTTTTCAATGGAATCAAACCACTATGGGATGAAGCCGCGTTTCCAAAGCTTATCAGTTTCTTAAAATATTAGCGAATTGTGTGGATAGCATGCTATTTCACTGTTTTTATGATTGTTAAAACTGCGTATCAAAATATTTCGAAAACGCTCTCAAAGAATTTGTTGAATACATACTCCCTTAAGCGATTTCTTCAAAAAACTCCTGGTACAGAGAAACACGTAGATAAAAGAAAAGCGCAATGGCGTCATTACGTTTACATGGCGACTCTGATTGCAATAAAACCCAGATCATAAGAAATTTCCATCATTATATAATACAGTTGTGGTAACCTTTTTCCCATATCTTTACTCACGCCGACGTAGTTAATGCTCAAACGTGGGAGGTGTCCCCCCCAAGAAAATCCAGTCGAACCACCTTAAACTGTAGATTTAGGAATATTTTTATCCCCTACTAATTTTTCATCTGTTCGGATTTCCTAGCTGAAAGTCTAGTTATCCGAAGATTAGAGGGATCAAAACTTACCTTTTCGAAAATTTCAGCCAGAAAAAGGCTCCCGAAAATTCTAGGTGACCTTTTTAAGTTAAAAATCCGTCAAAAATGGGTAACTATACCATTGTTTAGATGTTCGAAAATCCTAGGAGAGGCAGGCAAGCAAGAAATCTTACAACAAATGTTCTGAAAATTCTAGATCTCAAATCGTCTTCCGAACAGATATTTTCCGAAAATTGACGTTGGGTGCCCCCGTCTATTCGTGCTTCAACTTTCACAAATGTGTGTGGTTCACCTCCATTTGCAGGCGGGGGATTTGTGCAAGTGCGAAAACGCTGTTGAGTTCCATTGTTAAAAGTCACGTTGCACTGCGACCAACGGCTCAAGGGGAAAAAACTCCATCAACTAAAAAAAGGAAAGAAAAAGTTATACCTTCCAACTCAAACGCTTTTGCGCATAGACGAAAACGTGTCATGTTCCATGGAAAAACACTTCCTAACTGCCTTTGGCGACTAAGACTCGCTCGCAAGTTATCAAGTCGTGTACCTTGTAACCGCGGGAAATTTATATGACCTAGTTAAGCGAGACCAATGTTTGACGGTACAATAAAAAGCTCCAAAAAAATTCTTACTTGCTATTTGTACAGCGAGTTCTACGTTCACGATTGACTTCAAAGTTGTAGATATAAAATTAGAGAACTCTGAGGCTTATTTGCCGAAGTTAGAGAAAAATCTGTCTTAGCTTGGGTTTCGAAATTATTGACATTTATTGTATAAACGAGGTTTTAAACATACGCCGATATCTCAAAAGTTTTTATACCTACAAGAAAATAAATAACAATTTCTTAAAGTTCGGCCATTCTTTATTAAGGACGCCAAAAATCATGGAAATCGGTTAATCATTCCTGGCGAAAAAGGCGATTCAAAAATATAACCAACGCGTATATAAATAGGTTCGGGCCACCTTAAATTTTTCTCTTTTTTCCTGCTTCTCCAATCTCGCGCCTTTAGTCACGCGCGTGGTCATTTGTGTGTCTCGCACGTTTTGCTCGACGGACTAAGAAAAAAGGGAGACTGCTCGTAGTCTAGTGCATGTGTACTTCCTTGAGACAACTTCATGATCTTTTAAATTTCCATGAAACTCTTCCCCTCTGAAATAAAGCCTTAAAATGTTGTTTACAAGCTGCTGGACTATTTGAAATTTGCCTTCTGCTTTTGTCACAACCCAGAAAGCTGTAATTTAGTATCAGGCACAAAAGCAAGCGTAGTATTTTTGTGCTTTAATACTGGCTGATAGCAACTAACACGCCATGCCATGTAAGTCCACTTCAAGTATTAAGACCTCACGAACTACCCTGCCACCATGTTTTGATAGGTTTGAAATGCATTCGCAGCTTTTATTGTAAACTTTGTTGACATTAGTACAAATAACATTTCAACAATTGTGTTATTCTGTTCACTATTCATTAAAAGTAAGCAATGTTTTCTTGGGAGACTATTTATGAAACAAGCAAAATGTTCTCTTCCTGTCCTTGCAAAATTATGCTGATCATGATCAAGAACATGCAACGAAGATGGGCTTTGTTTGTTCTCTCAGCCTAATGTTCCAATGTGTATTTTGAGAACATACCCCTAACTCAACCTTCTACCTTACTAGGGTAATCAATTAAAATAAATTATTATTACTATCTAAATGATGAATCCATCGAAGGCACAAACTATATTACCAATACATGTAGTTTATTACGTAATGAAACTCTTCAGAAGTCTACATGTACCCTGCCTTACATTATTGACTTTGAATGACTCTGAATGACTTTGTAATTTCTAAGAGCCATGTGAGCAGGAGAGAAACCTCTGCTTGTAAGCTAGTACAATAACCAGCAAGGCTGCTAATGAACAGTCTAAAATCAAAAGGGGTAAATTCTGAGGGTAGCTGCACGTCCAATATGAGGAGAAAAAGTTGCCACACCAAGAAGGAGGATAGCAGAGACTGATTTGCCACCAAGCAGGGTATGTCAGCGAATCGCAGCAAGCAAACCATCTTTATGGCGACTCTTGGCGAGTTCTGCAAGGGCCTACAACAGACATATTATTTGTAGTTAGTTACTGGCCTTAACAAATAAAAAAATGACTGACTTTAAAAAGCTTAAAAGCAATTAGTAATAGAACATACATCTATGTATGAATTAATAATTTACTTATTAGAAGACATTCTGATATGAATACCCCAATACTGTAAATGACATCACAGGGCTGTTGCTAAAATTTCAAGTTGCCAGGTATATGCAATTAGTAAAATCCAACTAGTGGTCTATTATCAATGCTACACTCTGATTGGTTGAGCTACTACTAGGCTGTATGTTATAGTCCACTAGTAGCGAAAAGCGCCAGCTTTTTGACAGCAAAAAAGGATTAAAGTCTAGCCTTAACTAGCTAAAGTTGTTTTGTCTCAATATTTTTGACCGACTAGTTGGATTTTACTAAAACAATAATATTATTCCTCTTGCCCTCATGGCCTCTGAGTCAATAGCCCATTCGGCCTTCGACCTCATGGGCTATTGACTCAGAGCCCATTCAGGCTCGAGGAATAATTGTTAATGAGTAGGAGGGGAATTGTACAGCTAGAAGTTCTTTTGGCTCTACTTTCTTTTTGTTTCCAATAGGAGTAGCCAGAGCTCATGCTCATAGTAGCCGAAGAAAATCCCCCCGCCCTGCCGCCCCCGGCCCTTTGTGACAGCCCTGCATCATCTCAGAAAATTTGTATGAAAATAAATAGTATTTCACCCCACAGAATCCTATTTGATAAATTGTTCTCCTAAAAAAAAATGGATTCTCAAGGTGCTGTTATGGACAGAAAAACTGTTGGGGAGAATTTTTGGTTTGAGGTGTCACAGAAACTGTTCTATACAGATAGGTCAAGCCACGTTCAGTGGACTAATTCCAGAAAATATCCATATTCCCCCCACAAAAGGGATTGGAAACTCCTTGGGATAGGGGGTTCTCAAAGGCCTAAAAATTTAAGTAAATGTATGAAGCTTGACTGGAATTTCCCGAGGGGTGGGGGGTCTAAGGAAAAATCCCTTCAGTGGGGGAGGTATAAATAATTTTTGGAACTGCACAATGTAACTGATGATATAAAATGCAAATTGTGGACTTATTATTTTTGCAGTTTGATGAAGTGACATGAG